TGCACAACAAGCCGGATGAACGCTTTAATATTAAATCTAAATCTGAGTTTCTTCTCTGAATCAGATTCACCTGCAGGTACAAATTTCATTTTACTGGAAAAACTTCATCCGAGTCAAACAGGAGTTTATGATCTGACTACGATGTTTGTTTGTATTATTATATATTTTGGATTTCTGATTTATTTGTCTGTTCACGGCACCTTGCCAAAGTATTTACACATTTTAAACTTCTCTACATTTTGTTGTAGCCATAAACTTTAATGTATTACCAGGGTTTCAAAGTAAAGCAGAATGATAAAGTTATTTCTTTTTTATTTTATTACTGTGACCTTCAGCTGATGCTAAAGCTGCAGATTTCTTTTATTTTCTAATTTTATTTGTAAAAACTCTCAGCATCAGTCACGTTGGACAGAAAACAACTGCGATAACTAACGTTGTGGAATTACTCAAGTAATTTTTTTATTATTATTTCATATTTATACATTACTTTTTGTTGCTCCAACATTTTAATATCCAGTATGGTTTCAACAAAATGTAAAAAGCACCAGAGGGACAAACGTTTCTGACACTGAATAAAAGTGAGCTGAGAAAGGAGCCTTGAGGAACCTCCAGCCATCAGCCTGGTTTATAAAAGTCATTTAGATTTTTTCTGTTTTGAATGAAATGTTTGGCTGTTGGGAGAACAAAGAGTCCAGAACATCAAGTCCTTTTAATCAGATTTCTAAACATAAATTAAGATATGAATGCTGCATGTCTTATTTCCCCTCATTTTTCTGTACGATAAAGGTGAATAGTGCCTTAAATATACTTTAGATGAAGGTTTCACTGTAAGGTTTTTGTCAGACCAAAGTGTAACCAGGCTGCTGTGAGGTTCTACCTGCAGGTCCAGAAAGGAAAGCAGTCTTTATCCAGCACCATGTTTACGCTCAGATGTGAAACTGGAAGCTGGATGTCCGATTGTCATCAGCGCTAAGCTGAGAAGAGCTGCTGAGTTTGGACAAAGTGGAAAATGATGATCTACACTGCGGAGCTGTTTATGTTGGTAATCTCCCAGACCGGCCTAATCAAAACATCTTTAATTTTACTGCCGATCGGAAACTGTGACATCTGCGTCGAACACCCTGAGAGGGGGACAGCTTCAAAGCGGGACGTGTCCCATCCTCAGCACGGCTCTGCTGATGACAGGATGAGCTCACCCTCATCTGCTGCTGTGTTTGGAGGAGGATATGTATCCATAACGCTGCAGACTTTATGCAGTAAATATGGCTGCATTGTTTAGTGTCTGTTCTGCCATCGCGGCAGGCCGGCATGAAGACGGACTGAGTTAGAAAAAACATCTTGGACTTAACAAAAGGCTTTCTGTTCTGTCGAGCGGCCCAACATGAAGCTGAGAAAATCCTCCTGATTGATTCTGCAGGATCTGGACGACACGCCGCTCACACAGACTTCTCTGCTGCTCAGCGGGCGGAAAAAGGCCTGACAGGCTAAAACCACCGGCTCTGCTCCTCTGACGGACGGTGGAAACGCTGAGCTGAAGATCAACCAAGAAACCAATCACTCCTACTTTCAGTTTTTATTTAAATAAAAATAAACAGCAACTGTAAAGTGTCACTTCTTCAGTTTAGCTGCATGTGAGCTGTTCTGTCATTTAGGAATAACTATTTACAGTGCAGAGCTGTCCACCAGACAGACAGACAGACAGACAGACAGACAGACAGACAGACAGGTCTGGCCACAGACACACACCTGAGTGGCCCAAATAATCCCCCCACCTATTTACACAGGAGAAGAAGAGGCCACGGCCTCGCCTGCAGGGTGACACTTAACTCCTCCAGTCACTCGTCCCGTAATCACAGCATTCTGCTCACTGCCTAATTACAGCCTGCTGCCTGTGTGTGTGTGTGTGTGTGTGTGTGTGTGTGTGTGTGTGTGTGTGTGTGTGTGTGTGTGTGTGTGTGTGTGTGTCACAGACTCATTATCTAGCAATGCAGGCCTCACAGGTAGACAATTACACACTCTGATGAGACTATTATGAGTATTTTTACCAGTACACACTGATAAACCAACTGTTAGAGTTAAATCAACCAGATTAATTAAACTCGTTTTATTTTTGTTGATTTGAATCAGCCAAAAGATACTAAAATAAATTTTCTAAATAAAAGAAAACATATTACAAATGTTTCAAATTGTTCAAACAGGCAAAATGAAATAGAAAGAAGTTTCCCTGATGAGCGGCTCATTAGCCCCAAGCTCAACCTGCTAGCAAATATTAGCACAGACGCTAAGCTAGTTAAAGCTGAATACAAAATATAATTTATATATTTTAACAAAGTGACATGTAAACAAATAACTACGATGTGCCTTTAAGAAGCAGAAGCTGCGTCAAAGTTAAGAAGCTCAACTTGCTAGCAGGCCTGACTTTTGTGTAGCGCTAAAGCTAAACCCTAATGGTGGGCCAGAAGGGTCAACAATATGTAAAAGTCACAGCACAACAGCAACTTCTTCTGTGTGGGTTTTGCATTTTGCTGACCCTTCTGGGCCACCGTAGAACTAGTTAGTGCTAGATAGGCTACAAACTAATTAATGCATTTGGACAAAGTGGCAGCTAAAAGGTTTCATTCACAACTTCATCCAACAATGATTAGCTGCAACATGCTTGTTAGCATGTGTGACTTTTGTGTTATACAAACGTTCTTTTTTTCAAATCTGACGGTAGCATGTGAACAACCTTGTCATGTTTAACAGCGCCACCTTGATGGTAAATACCCTCTGACTTTATCATTAGCGCAGATGCTAATGGAGATACAAACTTTTAAAATCTATTTTAACTATTTAACGTGTGAACCTTTTCACTGACAAACACTGCTAAGACAGTTGATGATTAGCAGAGACTGGCTTACCCAAATAGCAAGTTAGAATTTAGAATTAGCTCAGATGCTGCGTTAGCTAAAGCTGGATGCAGAATGGATGGATGAAAATTTAAATCCCATCAGAATATTATGCTTGATCGTTTTTTCTGATTACTAATATCACGCAAATGTGCTCAGCACTAAAAATCTCAGTTTGCTATTAAGTTTGACTTTAGCATTAGCGCCATCGTTAGATTAGCTAAATTTGGATTAAAACTAACCTTAAACCTTTTTGTACCATAACTGTTAATGCAGATCTGAACTGTTTGTGTTTAAATGGTTTCTGTGGCCGTTACTGATTATCAGACAGGGAGCAGAGAAAACATGCAGCAAACACCGACAGCTTTATGCTAATATGGTGCGCTTAAGCTAATACACAGAATAGATACATTTATTATTAACAAAACCCAGGTAACATTTCTATGCACTGAACAACACAAAAAGAATAATTAGAAATAAATCAAAATCTAATCTACATGCTGAGGAAGGATTTAATCATTTTTGAACATTACATTTATGAACTGTTATGTTTAATTTAAATAAAATTACTTTAGAAATTAATGTTTAAAAACTTTAGAAATTCATATTTCAGTTCATTTTTGTTCTGAGCTGTTCTGGGTCTGTATAGAGCAACAGCAGTCAAACAGGAAAGATGCAGAACTTTGATCAATTATAAGCCAATAGTTATGATGAGGTGCATTATCTTTTATAGTAATTTTGCAAAAAGTATGTTAATTTAGCTAAATCTGCAGTAATAATCCCAAACCTGAAGTGTGTTCCTTCTGTGTGGATTAAAGGACCTGCAGGTAGAAACTATCAGCCCAAATAAATCGGCTCGGTTCTACAGGAGGGCAGAAGGGACAAATTTCACATTTTCTCTGGCGTCTTCATCGCCAAAATGAGTTTGAACATGGAAACTCATTTTTCCTGCGCTAAATGTCTGGGCTTCACCCAAAACATGATTCAGCTTTTAGATTTTATCTTCAGAATTAATAATTCTTAAATATTTAATTTTATTTGAGTTATTAATGAATGAGTTGATGTCGGCTTCCTGTGGCCGACTCGCTTCACCTCTGACCCAGATCATCCCGCCGCTCGGTTTCCGGTTCCTGTGTTTCTGCGGTGGGAATTTCCTGCTGAAAAAAAAAGAAAACCTGTTTTGTCCTCACCCTTTTTCTTTTTTTAGGAAACATTAATCATTTGCTCTGGTATTTATCTGATTAATTTTCAAAAGCAACATAAGTCAGATATAAATTATGAAGCAATAATTGAAAAGGAAGCGGAGTTTAATTTGAAAAAACAAACTCTGTTCTCTCTTCATGCTGAACTTGTAATGACTAAAAAAGAAAAAACTTTTTTATTAACGATTTTAAGAAAAGCAATAATCTGTTGTTTCAATTATTAAAAACACACAAAACCTTGATTCTTATTGTTGTACATTTGCTAAAATTCATCCAGTTACTATAAATCTGAGAGTTAAACATTTATTTTTTATGTTATATTAAGATATAACATTTATCAAAGTTAACATATACTTCATGCTTACATAAATTTCTGTTATAATATTTGAGAAAATGTAAAACAATTAAATATAAATCTGAGTACTAAACATAAAAATATGAACGGGAATAAATTAAACGTAAAGTATAATAAGAGGTCAGAAGATTCAACAACTAATCCAAAATGTTAAATAACGTAATAAAATTTAAACAAAAATAAATGTGATGTAGGCGCATCAGAAAGAATAAAAATAACAACAAATATAATTTTAAAAACAATTAATATTATAAATATATAAAATACCAGATATCTTAGCCTTTATTCAGAATTAATAAAAAATAAAAAACGGTAAATGAGTTGAGTACGAAAAACATGCAGATGTAAATTTATTTTGCTTATTAACTCGCGTTGCTCTCTCGTAATAATAGTAATAATAGTTTGATGTTTTTCATCCCGAATCTTTGTTTTTCGGGATGAAGGTTGAAGAAGATGCAGGAGGATGAGGAAGGTGACGGGGTGGGGGCGTGGTGACGTCACGGCGAGGCGTGCAGCGCAGCGCCGGAGGAGAAAAGCGACGCAGCGCAGCGCGGAGGAAACACAGCGGCGCTCACCGCGGACGCAGCGTCACGCAGTCTCACGCAGCCTCACGCACAGACCGCGCTTTGTTGGATTTACTCAACACCTGCATGGGACGCAGTCAGGCTTCTCCTCCCTTCACCTCTTCTCTCTACTGGGAACCAACTGGTGAGTAACTGGTCCTGACTGGGAAGCTTTAGAGCTGCGAGAAAAACATCACATTAAACACAAATAGACCCGAAGGAGACCAGAAAGAAAGCGTTCATTAAGCTTTCATTATTTTAATTATAATAACAACACATGGAGCAAATAAGGCGCAATTTTAAGACTGTGCGGAAAATCAAGGCAACATTTCAACATTTCTGCTCGGCTGAAGGGACAGAGAGAGAAGATTTACTGGAGCAGATTCCCGCAGATAACTGTGTGTGTGTGTGTGTGTGTGTGTGTGTGTGTGTGTGTGTGTGTGTGTGTGTGTGTGTGTGTGTGTCTGTTCCTGGTTCTGGATAAATGATGAAGGTTCCGTTTGAAGCGACGCCTCGGATCAATAAATATTTTCTCTTTCTTTCTTTCTTTCTGCTGTTTGTTTGTTTTCACTTTTTTCCCTCCAGTTTAAATGTTCAGATTCAGAAACTTGAAACCAGTTCAGGATGAATATGTTTAATAAAGTTGTGAGGAAAAAGCAGCTGAAATAAAAGCTTGTTGTGTTCGCAGGGATCTGGAATGGAGCTGAATCTGTCCAAGAATGTGATTTCATGCGGAGACCCAGGTAAGAACCAGAACCAACATCTTCATTTCTCTGACAGATTCTGCTTTTGGGAAACGGTTCACACACAAACCTAAATTCATTAAAACTCAGTTTAGTCGCAGTTTATGCTTCATAAGTTCTGAGGTCAGAAAAGCGCAGATGTGCGGAATTATTAAATGTTCATGTGCAAATAAAGGAGCGCGAAAATGACAAGTGAAGGAATTAACTAATGAATTTTTACTTAAACATTTAAAAATCGATGTTAAATATGTTTAAAAACACAAACAGTAATCATAAAGGTTTGAACATTTTATTTCATTTATATATAATATTTTTGTTAAATTATAAAACATATAAACAATAAAACATTTGGTTCTAACAGATGAAGGACGGAGTCGCTCGTCAACTTTACACACCGACTTATTTCACTTTAGATTTTTTCATACATTATGGAGATAAATAATAACTGTAATTTAATTCAGTTTAATTTTACATCTGAAGCTGCGCGTCGTTTCGACCTGATCGTTAATTAAATCCGATCAACCAGAATAACTGGACCGACGTCAGCGGATTGTTAGAATGAATGAAAATGAATAATAATAATAATAATAATAATAATAATAATAATAATAATAATAATAATAATAATAAACGACAGGAAACGTCACGTTGCGCGCGGCTTCATTTCTACCTGGAAAATATTTAGTTTCAAACAACCTGAAGTAAAAAAACGAAATGATCTGGAGCCGCAACGGTCACATGGATCTGCAGATGAAAGGAAAAATAGATTTTATATTTTGTCTAATTGTGTCTCTGAAGCGGCTCATTCAAATCATAAACAGTTTTAATAAATGAACAGTTTATTCACACAAACAATAAAACTACGCTTTAGTTTAAAGGTTAAACTAAAAATATCAGAAACCCCCAAAATATTATTGTTTATTTCCAAGCTGCCAAAAGATATTAAACGGAAACAATATAATTAATTTATGACTTTACTGGTTTTACTGCCTGAGACAGCCTGGCGGCCTGTCCAGGTGACCAGGTGACCCGTCCAGGTGACCCCGCCTCTCGCCCGGCAGCAGCTCCTCCTGACCCATTAAGGGACAAGGTGTTAGAAAATGGATGGATGGTTTTACTGCTTGAAACTATTTCATATTTTTTATTTTAAGAAGTTGATAAACTTGAACACAAAGCATGGAGATGCTGTGATAAAACGTGTGCAGCCTGGGGGTACCCCTGCTGGCCTGGAGGAACCAAAGCAACATGTAGATCGCTGATACCTGGGGCCGGCTAAGTTTTCTGGGGAAACATTTTACTGTTCTGCAGAAAACATGCAGCTGTTAATTTTAATATTATTTGGAAAATACACAAAAATCTAAAACATTTAAAGTTTACATTTATTTTAAATGTAAAAATTTGCTGCCTTTCAGAAAAATTAATGAACAATTCTTAAAGATTTTAGATTTCAAATATTCTTTGAGAGATTTTTGGCCTCAAACATTCCAGTAAACCAAAGTTCATGTTTTTATTTCTAATAAATATACGGCTGCTCTGCAGAGAAAAGTCCAGAATATTTCAGAAAACAAACGTCTCGTGTTTCCACAGCTGATGGAAATGTTGATTTAACTGATAATGTAATAAAGTTCAGATTTTATTAAACTTTCCCCATAAATTGTAACGTCTAAAACGATTTTAAACAAGAAGATCTGACAGTTTAGTTTTCTGCAGTTTTCTTGTGAAAGCTCAGCAGCGGCTGCTGACTTTGCGTATGCCTCAGGCCGGCCCTGCTGGTTGTGGACGTTCTGCTGGTTCTGAATGAAGGATGATTTTATCGGCTCCATCAGCTTCAGTGGGATTTCTGTGTGTTTTTCTGCTCATTAGCGGTTGTTCTTAAGCGCTGTTTGGATGTCAGAGTCGGAGGTCAAACGGGCCTCGGCCCACGCAGGGGAACCGTCACCACGGCGATAATCTGCCCGGCGCTTCTCCAGTTACCCAGCGGCTCCAGTTACATCTCCGCTGCTGGTCTCGCTTTCAATCTGCTTTGTTTTCCAGCTGCAGGGGAAAAAACGGCACTTTTATTCCCTGTGTGTGCTTTGTGATTAATGAGGCTCACACACTTTATTTTTACATCATGGACAGGAGAGAGAAAAAAGTATGAATGTTTGCGCTGCTGCTGGACCTTTAACCTGTCCTGCCGGATGGGAAGGCTTTTTAACTCATCCATCACACGCAGAAGTGGAGCAGAAGGACGCAGGCGAGATGGAGGCTGGAGTATTTAGATAACCGCCATCGATCAGCCGCAGAGCGAAGCCAGAAAACTGCACAGCAGCTCCAACATCAAAACGCTCCAGATTTAGAGATGATGCATCTTCTCTGAGCGATATTAAAATTACAGTATTGATAAAAGTTAAGCCACATATCCACTAACCCTGTAACTCGGCCTCTTACACTGCAGAAACACTCAATCCTAAGAAAGGAGTTTGGATTTATAGAGCAAATATCTCAGTTCACTTAAAAGAAACTAAACTAACTTACAGGAAACTTTCAGCAAAAATAACAGTTTAGTCATTAATATTGATGAAAAAGTTCCAGTTCAACATGATGATTATTTCACTTATAAAGTGGGGAAAATGTTTTATTATCAGTGAAATAATCTGCAGAGGGACTAGAACTTTTTCATCAATATTAATGAGTTTATTTACTTAAAGCAAACTTGTATCTGCTGAAAAGTGACCTGTAAGTTAGTTTAGTCTCATTTTAATTTATCTGGCAAGTTTTGTGTTTTGCAGTGTATGTATTTATTCATCAGTTTTATTAAACATTGTTTTGGTAATAAAGTTGTTTTCTGAAGTAAAACCTGGACACAGATCCATGCTGCGCTCCGGGTTAAACGCTCTGTCGCCGTGGAAACGTGTCACTGTAACTCATGGCAGCTAAACCTCTGCTGTGACCAGAACCACGCTCCGCTCCGGTTCATGTAACAAATCCGTTTCTGAAGCGCAGTCGTCCCGGCAGGCCTGCGCAGGTCGCTACCGTGATTCCTGTCAGAGAAACACGCTGGAGGACGGCAGGAGCTCTGAGCCCAAATGTTGAGAAACTGGTCCGGTCCGGGCGCTCCGGGCGCTTCAGGATCTGATGTCAGGAGGCTCTGCTGGAGCCGCCGACTGTCCGGGTTCAGAGGATCACACACGGGACGACACGCAAAGAGTCACTGGAACGACTCGCTTCACACATGCAGGACTGATATGTTCAGTAATCAGCCTGTGGAGCAGTTTGGTCATAAAGCATGGATCTGTCTGTCTGAAAGCTTTTCCATTTTATACAGAACTGATTTGCTTGTCAAATTATTTTAAATGATCATTTTCCAGAGTAAAGGAATTAAACTGAAGCTAAAACTAAATACAAACAACACAAATCTGTGAACCTCTGTTTCAAAGTCAGTGGTTCCTTATGGGGGACGGCTCGGCTCCTTTATGACTCAGGCCGGCTCTGCTTTCAGTCAAACTGATGAAACAAAGAGAGAATGTAGTAAAGACGTTTTCATGTGTTGAGTTGAGGTTAGCGTTGGTCCTGCAGAAGGAACTCGCTCCGTTCGCTTGGACTCGTCTGAACGTTAATCTAAAACCAACCGAAGCCTGAAAACAGAGACGATCTGCTGCGGAAACCAAAAACTCCAAAAACCTCCAGAGTCAGAGCGACTCCACCGAGCGTCATTATTAAACGCTGCAAAGTATTTTATTGATTTAGCTCAAATACTGAAAATCTCATTTTTTCTGGACTCGAACGTAGCCAACCCTGTTGAAATGTTTCAACCACAGCAGCAGGAAGGATGTGACCTTTGACCTCCAGATCTATTCAGAGAAACGAGTCCGAAACGTTTGTTCATATCGATATGAGTGTAAAAAATGAAATGATTTGAAGATGGCATCAACCAGAAATAGAGAATCTTTATATAAACTCTCACTGAATATGTTGGTAAAACTCATAAAATCTCTACATTTATGAATTTCATAAACTTTAAAGAGTTTAAAGTGAAAACAATTTTTTTCTGGTTTGGTTATTTTGGACAAAGAGCCGGCCTGATGCAGAAGCAAACTCAGCAATTACAACTCAGGTTTCACTGATTATATTCTTTTTTATTAATTAGTTGTAATTGTGCAAAATAAAAATCATAATTTTTGATATTCAAAAGGAAAGATGTATATCATTTCTTTGAGTGAAACATTTTAGAGATAAATTTATTCTTTGCTCCATTTGACACAATAAACTAAATCAAGAATCAAGATAAATTATTATTTTTCTCTAAAATAATCTGGATTATGAAATATTTTTCATCCTCAGTCAGATTTTATCTGAGTTCTAGAACAAATGTTACATTTTACATAAAACCTGAAAAAAATTCAGATTCTGGAAACAAACATTTGATTATTGTGAAGTTTTCTGTTATAAGAAACTGTAACATAAATGTTTATTGAATGTGTGAAGCTTTAACTTTTAAAACTTTATGAAATAAAGGATTTTTAAAAATAGATTAAAGTAGGAAGATGAATGATATAATACAAGCTGCTGGTTAGGACATCCAGGCCAGCAGGGGGCGTCCAAGAGCAGCGGACTCATCACACAGAATGCAGCAACAGAAACTTTAAATGACTATCAAGAATTAATCTACTTTAATATTTTATGTAATAGCTTTATTCATCTCTCTATCAATTCTGGGCAGATTTTAGTTTCGAAGAGAAGAAATCCCTTAGCATCATGCTAATGCTTAGCAT